TCCACCTAGATTTCAAAGGATGTTGATAGCCTCAGGGATCAGGCAGAGACTTGCCTCAGAAGATGGCCACTGCGGAACCACCCCTACTAAGGCAATGCTTAGTGGAACCATAGAGGCATGGTCACCCCCAACACCCCATAAGTGTATGTAGAGCTGCCAGCATGCAATACCATCTTGGAATTGCTGCAGGCACCTGACTCCAACCAGTGAGAGCTACTGCATGGGCTGTGCCCAGCAAAGCTGTGAGGGTGCTGTGAGGGCTGCCCAGGGGCTTCGGGGCCCAACCTCTGCAGAGGTATCTGAAGGAGAAGCTGTGTCCCACCCCTGTCTTACTTAGACTAAGGGACTTTGTTGCGCATGGCTTACTTTTCTGTTTTCCTTGCCCTCATTCCATAGGGTAGCTGTCCCTGCCCTAGAGGGCCATCTCTAAGGGCTCTGTCTTTGTTTGTGCTGCTATAACACAGTACCACAGACTGGGTGATTTATAAAGAACAGAAATTTATTACCAGTAATGGCAAAAAACACAATTATTTTTGCACCAACCTAATATTTCTCACAGTGCTGGATGCTGGGAAGCCCCAAATCGAGACACTGACAGGCTCCATTGTCATGGGAAGGCTGCATCCTCAGGAGGGGAGGGGACCTGTGTTCACATAGCAGCAGAGCAGAAGAGAGCAAGTGGGAGATGAGCAGTGCATGTGGCCTCATTTGTAAGGCCTTAAATCCACTGATGAGGGCAGAGGCCTTAGGACAGAATCATGTCTTAAAGCCACACCTCTTAATGCCAACACATGGGCAACATTGGCATTTTGGAAGAGACACATTCAAACAATAGCATTCTGCCCCTGGCCCCCTTAATTTATATCCTTCTTACACACAAAATACATTCATTCTATCCCAGTAGCCCCCCAAAGTCTTAACTCATTCCAGCGTGACTTTAAAGTCTAAGTCCAAAGTCTAATCTAAATTGGATATGGGTGAGATTCCAGGCACAATTCATCCTGAGGTGAATTTCACTCCAACTATGAGCGTGGGAAATAAAACAAGTGATTTGTTTCCAAAATACAACAATAAGGCGTAGTATAGACATTTCCATTCTAAAATGGAGCAACAAGTAAAAAGAAAGGAGTAACAGACTCCATGTAAGCCTGTCAGTGTCTCGATTTGGGGCTTCCCAGCATCCAGCACTGTGAGAAATATTAGGTTGGTGCAAAAATAATTGTGTTTTTTGCCTTTACTGGTAATAAATTTCTGTTCTTTATAAATCATCCACTCTGTGGTACTGTGTTATAGCAGCACAAACAAAGACAGAGCCCTTAGAGATGGCCCTCTAGGGCAGGACAGCTACCCTATGGAATGAGGGCAAGGAAAACAGAAAAGTAAGCCATGTGCAACAAAGTCCCTTAGTCCAAGTAAGACAGGGGTGGGACACAGCTTCTCCTTCAGATACTTTTTTCTTTTCTTCCTCTCTGCACAAAACCCAGACTACTGCCTCGCTGATGCTGTATGCACTAACCCCAAGGGTTTAGTCATACAAAGAAAACAGGCATTTTTCTGCACTCTCATAATGTTTAACCATGCCTTTTACTTAAAGAATTCCGGTAACTGTCCTTCGGAGAGCCACAATGTTGAACCAAGGTTGTGGAGTATTCCACCTTGGGAGGAATGTCGGATGATTGATTCACAGCCTTGTTGCCACCAGCCAGACCTCCAGGTTGCCATAACCATGGCAACCAGATGTGCTGCCCTGCATACCCTAAACCTCCCATGCTTTACCCAGCCTGCAAACCCTACCCCTAATTTCAATTCCTACTCTCCACCTAATAAAAATTCCCTACTCAGCCATTTTCAGAGAGCCAGCTGGAAAATCCCTGCACCTTAGCTGTTTCCCTTGCACAAGCCCCCAAAATAGAGCCTTATCTGGAAATCTACTTGGCTTGTGTTAATTTCCATTATATGAGAAACCTAAGAGTCCATGGTCTGTAACACAAGTACTCTACACTATCTCAGGTGGCCATCTATTCTAAACTTAAATGCATCAGAATTAGGGAACTTTATTATACGCTGCTGCTGCTACTACTGGTATCAATAGCAACCATTTTTTGGACACTTAGAAGCTCACAGGCATTGGATGGATGTAGTCCTATATGTTGTGCTCCACAGGCCACCCTCAAGCTGCCCTGCCCAAAGCCAGCAGCTCCACTGACACCTGCTTCAGCAAAGAAGCCCTAGCAGAGCTCGTTCCCCAGAAGACTCATTTCTGAAAGGAATATAGCACAAGGCTCCTGATTGTCAGCACCTGGCTCCACTGTTTACCTCCTCCTGGCAAGGGACTGCGATTTTGAGTTTGGACCTCGGCATTAGGCAGACAGGATGACAGTGATAGGGACCAAGAATGACAAATGTCCACTTGTCTTTGTAATACCTACACATAATCTTCTTATGTGCTTAAACTTTGAAATAAAAAAAAACCCTCAATGCAACTAAATAAATTAAAACTCACTCTATCTCCAAAAGGAAAACACTCAAGAGTCTCTCTGTTTTGCATACAGCTCTGAATTCAGGAATTTGGGGCCAAGTTTTTTGGTTTGTTTTTGTTTTTATTTATTTTTTAACCAAGTTTTCTCCTAATCCCATATCGGTCTTCTGATGCCTCTGGACCAAATCTGTAAAGGTGACCATCACATCACATCCTATATATACTAGGGGAGTGGAAGAGATAAAAATAAATTAGTGGCCGGGCACGGTGGCTCAAGCCTGTAATCCCAGCACTTTGGGAGGCCGAGACGGGTGGATCACGAGGTCGAGAGATCAAGACCATCCTGGTCAACATGGTGAAACCCGTCTCTACTGAAAATACAAAAAATTAGCTGGGCATGGTGGCGCGTGCCTGTAATCCCAGCTACTCGGGAGGCTGAGGCAGGAGAATTGCCTGAACCCAGGAGGCAGAGGTTGCGGTGAGCCAAGATTGCGCCATTGCACTTCAGCCTGGGTAACAAGAGCGAAACTCCGTCTCAAAGAAAAAAAAAAAAAATTAGTGTGAAAGTACTGTCATTATATGATATGACAAGAAAATATGGATACATGCCATTGTCCTCATTTCAGCGACAGATTGTTTACAGTTTTTATCAGTTCTTTTCTTCACCAACTCTTTCATCTTCCCTTGGCCCACGGTTAGGACCTTGACTTGCTTGAGTTGGTTGCTCAGTGGATGGCTCTAAACTGTATTCCTCAGGCATCTGGTCCTTGGTAGTCCTTTCTGCATGAGGGCTATAGTTGTTGTTGTTGTTTGCAAAATTGGGGTGTTTATCTCCTTAACCCAACTAGAAAAAAATGCATAATCCAAACTTCCTATAAACACAGAACAACGAAATGGAGCAGGATTGAAATTACCTTATTCCCAACCTATGTGAGTCAAAATCAGAAGATCAGATTGAATACAAATGTTCAAGTCACCAAAGAAAGATACCTACCAGTGGTTACCTGGGCCTGTTTTTAGCTTTTGGTTCATCTGTTTTTTGGGAAGTTCTCCAGTCATCTCTCCAACTTATGTTATTTATTAACAAAGAAACTATTTATATATTTACCAAGGCATCTCTTTATTTAGAGACAAATCAAAATTTTTTTCAAACATTGCCTTTTGAGGTAAATTAATAAACAACCATGAAATAACAAAAAACAAAGCAAAGCTCTTTTGGTCATTTTTTCACCTCTGTTGTGTGTTTAAATTAAGTTTTCCAAAAATCTCCTAAGGGAGAAATTACCGTCTGGGTCTGCTCAAACTTTACCTGTGTCCACAATCTCAACCAGGAACAATTTGACCACAGAAATATATTTCCTTTTATCAATAGATTGATAAAAGTATCAATTATATATCATTCAATGTAAATCATAAAATATATATCCAAAATATAAAATTTTTAAGTGCTGGGAAAGAACAGAGAATGAAAAGGAATGAATGGAAATATATGCGACACTTCAACCAGACCAATTTCTTAATCATTAAAACTCTTTTCCTATTTTAATTCAACATAGTAAATTTCAATAGGAACTGAAAAAATAGGAATACGGTGCTAGGTAATTCTAATTTAAATTTGAACTCTACTTCAGAATTCTCATATCAAGGCTTTCTGAACATTTCGCCAATTATTTTCAGAAGGAAATGTGAAAGAGCAATATATCAGAATTTAAAATGAAAAGTTTGTAACTTCACAATCCCTCTTCTGAAACCCTTGGAGTCAGAGGTGCTTCAGTATTCAGAATATTTCAGCAGTGTTCTGAGGCAGCTTTCGTAATGAAATACATTATTTTGCTGTATAGAAATGTATGATTACTTACATAGAGTGGGACGAATAAAGACTAATCATAGCCTCATGTCAGTTAAGGTCAAGTTTCATGGCCAAATGAGTTCAGATCAGAGCAAGTTTTGTGGTCAAGTGAGTTATGAAAAGATTTTCCATTTTCAGAGCTGTTTTACATCCTGTAAATACAGACTAAAAATCAATACCGTCCTACACTGAGGAGAACTTTGTTTTTAAAAGGCTTTACATTGTTGTCCAGCGATTTTTCATTAAGGCTTTTATACAGAACTCAAATGATTGTAAAATTCTATAATTAACTCTCATCAAAAACAAAACAAAACAAAAAACCCTTTAATCTTTAAGGCCACCTACACTGTGCAAATAATGTTCAAAAAATTAGAGGAAACCACAAATTCTGTCTGTTTTCAGCATCTCAAAATCTATATAACACCGATGTGGTTCGTTTGAGATTTTGACAATTTACAATTCAAAAAGGAGTTATGGCTGCAAAAAAGTGTGAAATTCTGTGTGATTGTATGTTTTGGGGGAGCAGCTATGAAGTAGACCTTTCCCTCTCTTTAATTCTAACCTGCAAATTAAGAAATAAGTTTTTTTCAGTTGCAGAATATTAAAATACTCTAGCCGATTCATATCATATTTATAATTTATATATTCATAACATAAATATTTAAATAAAATATATCTATATTTTAAATGTTATAATTTATTTATAATTATATCATAACTTATTTATAAGGTACGATTGATTATATTTAATATTTATATTATTTTACATTTATAATTTATTTTACTTATTTCTAATATTTTAATTCATTATAAGTGTTTAGAATTTGTTTTATAATATTTATAAATTCCCCTCCCAATGTTTATATACTTACCACTATTCACACCCCTCCCTTTTGAAATAACTACAAAAAGCCTCCTACTTGTCTTCCCCACTTTGAAGCAAAAACAATGACTGCCAGAAAAGTTCCATGTAGGAAGTTAAAAAAACATCAATCAGTTTCACAGACAGCAACTGAAAGATCTAAAAAAGCCCTTACTTAAAGGCATATGCTTTCCTTTCAGCACAACTCAGCTCTTCCACTGGGGAACTTCATAAAATACTACACACATCAAGAAAAAAGTATACCTCTTGGCAGTAAAACTTTGTCAACTGCTTCAAAACAATCCTGTTGAAATGATGTGGGGCTACTTTGGGCATTTTTCTGAAGCTCCAATATCCTGGCGACTCATTATTAGCATGACACTAAGCTAGAAGTGGGGGCTAAAGAAGCTGAGATTTTTTTTTTGAAATAAATAAATGTTCAAATCTCTCACTGAAAACCTGGAACATGATTTTGGGAAAGCAGATGTGTCAGTGTATGAGACTTTACAATAATTAAACCCCTTGACTGAAAATTAGAAATGGAAAATAGCCGGGTGCAGTGGCTCACACCTGTAATCCCAGCACTTTGGGAGGCAGAGGTGGGCGTATCACCTCAAAGTCAGGAGTTCGAGACCAGTCTGGCTAACATGGTGAACCCCCATCTCTACTGAAAATGCAAAAATTAGCCTGTGTGGTGGCAGGCACCTGTAATCCCAGCTGCTCCAGAAGCTGAGGCAAGAGAATCACTTGAACTTGGGAAGCGGAGCTTGCAGTGAGCAGAGATTGCGTCAGTGCACTCCAGCCTGGACAGTAGAGCAAGACTCCATCTCAAAAAAAAGAATGGAAAATATAAACAAAGATAAACAAAGTTAAACAGCCCAAATATCATTATGTTCATAACCAAGAATGTAATGCAGCCACTAAGCCATCCATAAAAACTGAAATTATGTGAAAAAAATGTTCAAAGTGTAATCAGAAAAAGCAGTTACCAAAATCTAGTATAATCTTCATGTTCCCTCACTACTGGATCATTCCTGTGAGTAAACACACCTGCTTTATTATTTCCCAACTTGAAAGAAAAATTCCTTAACCCAAACATCCTCCTCCTGGATTATTTCTCTGCTCCAGTTTCTCCCATTTACTGTAACTTTTCTTGAAACAGTTGTCCATACTCGGTTTGTTTCCTGAACTAATTACTTTTCTTTTTCTTTTATTAGAGACAGTGCCTCAATCTGTTGCCCAGGCTGGCATGCAGTGGCATGATTATGGCTCACTGCAGCCTAGAACTCTCAGGCTCAAGCAATCCTCCCATCTCCCAAGTAGCTTGAAGTATAGGTGTGTGCCACCATGCCTAGCTGTACTTTTTACTTTTTCTAGAGATGAGATCTCACTATGTTGCCCAGGCTGGTCTCAGACTCCTGGCCTCAAGCTATCCTCCTGTCTCAGCCTCCCAAAGTGCTGGGATTACCCATGTGAGCCACTGCACCCAGTCCTCCTGCACAGACTTCAATTAAGGTTTTGCCCTCATGATTCCACCAAAATCCGTGATTCCTAAGTAGTCAAATCCACTGATCAATTCTCAAACCTCATATGATGCACCTCACCAGCTGTATTTGATACAAGTGATCTCCTCCTTGGCTGTTTTCTTCTGGACTTCTAGAGCACACCTTTGTGTCAGTTCTCTGAACTGGTCAAGCCTCCTTACTCCCCTTTGGTGCTTGCTCTTCAACTTCCTGCCATCTAGACACTGGGAGTACCCCAGGACTTGGACTGCAGACATTTTTCTTTCTAACATATTCTGCATCATCTAACGGCACCTAGTCTCATGACTTTAAATGCCATCTGTGTGGCTACGACATTAGTCTACTCTCTCCCCAACCTACGTGACGTCTCCATTTGTAACCTCCATTTTCCTCAATTAAAACTGATTCTCTTACAGTCTTCCCTCTCTCAATAAATGGTTTTCAAGTACTTAGGCCAAAAATTTTGGATTCATTCTTGTCTCTCTGGTTTTTAAAATCCACTTCCATTTCATCAGCAGATGCTTTGGATTTTACCTTCAAAATGCCCCAGATCTTCCCACCCTTCTCACCTTTATTTCTATTCCTCAGGTTCTAGGTCATCTTCTCACATCTGGCTTCTGGCATCCCCACGCTGTCTTTTCGCCACTGTAACCATGGTCAGCTTTGTAAAAGGTATGTCGTGTCCTGTTACTCTTCTGTTCTCTCTTCACAATCTTCCCATCATACTTGATATTGTAGATCAACACTCAGAATTGATTCTAAACCTCTCCAGTACACAGAGCTTCAACCTCCCTTGCAGTTACGTTCTGGACATAAGTTAGATTCTGCCTGTTAACATGATTGCGGAACTGGCACCAGCTGTGTCGCTGCGGCCTCAAATGCTGTTGCTGGCAAGCCCTGGTGTGGAGCACCGTGGAATGTTTTTGGGTTTGGTTTTGGTTTCGGCAGAAGCATCCTAGTGTTCAGGAACCAGCTTAGGATGGTGACAAGCATTTGCAGAAGCAGCAGCTACCTCATCCCTGAATCACAGCTTGAGCTGTACGCTCCAGAAGACAGATGCTGCGTGGCATCTTGACTCCCCATGAGCATGGTAGAATAGTAGCTTCCATGGTACACTCTTGCAAGACAGTTTTTCTGGAAGTCATTCCCGGAGATGCATCTCATAACCTACTCCTCCAGTCCATTCAAAGATTTTGCAAGCACCAGATTCACTAAACTGAATCGCTTTCTCCCTCAATCAGCCAGACAGGTTTCCATTCTTGGATACCCAATTTATGCCATCACACCAGAATCAATCCAAAGTCCTTACTGTACCCATGAGACCCTGTGTGCTACGGTGCCTGCCACCTTTGAGTTTATGGCCTTCCACTCTTCCTCTTGCTCATTCTGCTCCAGAAACACAGGCAGGGAAACAAGCATGCTGCTGAAAGAAAACAGAAAAAAATGAAGATATAGCTGCTCAGTTGTGTTCTTACAAATATATTTACATTGCCCAGAACAACAAAGTAGAATACTAAGTGTAACGCCATTCAAAAGTATTGTTGATCCTCGAGAAAGGTTTTGAAACCTGCCTTTTAAGAGTTTCCCTGTATTTACTCTAGCTTAATAGAGCCCCTGTTTATCTCTCTAATCAGTGTAAAATACAGGTAATCTCTCTGATACAAACCCTGTGCCCTACGGCATCGCTTTTTTGTTTTTCCCTTTGTTGGATTTTCAGGTAATTTTCAATAAGAGGAAAAGAGTGTTTTCCCCCACATTCATGCTATTATATTAAGGCTTGTACCCTTCATTTTGCATTTTTGTTGTGATATTTACATTTAGAGAGATTTCAAATTTGAGTTTGTATAATTTCAGCTTACTTGCTTGTGCCTCTAAAGAACTGGTCCGTATAGACTTCATGAATTCCAAACCTGTCATTCTCAGCAGGTAGCTGTGAATTAGACCATGCATGGGACAATCTGTTTATTTAAACTACCTATGCAATTTGGGCCAAATCCCATAGCCAAGTAGCTGTAAATATGCACAAGCAACTGACAATAGGCTGAAACTAACAATATGCATAATAGGGGATTTGCAAAGCTTTATCAATCTATTCCTTTTTCTTTTCTTTTCTTTTTTTTTTTTTTTTTGAGATGGAGTTTCGCTCTTGTTACCCAGGCTGAAGTGCAATGGCGCGATCTCGGCTCACCGCAACCTCCGCCTCCTGGGTTCAGGCAATTCTCCTGCCTCAGCCTCCTGAGTAGCTGGGATTACAGGCACGCGCCACCATGCCCAGCTAATTTTTTTTGTATTTTTAGTAGAGACGGGGTTTCACCATGTCGACCAGGATGGTCTCGATCTCTTGACCTAGTGATCCACCTGCCTCGGCAAATGAAGCAATGAACTCTAGTATCCTGAATTGCAACACGCACTTATTTATTTATTTAGATTTGCGTTTGAGCCCTGAGAAGGAAAATATGTTTATGCGTTAGCGGCCCTTTTGATGAGATCAGGATATTATTAACCTATTGAAAAACATTCAATTGCTTTGAATCAGTACTTGGTTTGGATTTATCTTTTTCCCATTCAAGAGATGAATTGCTTTGTTCATGAAGAAGTTCAGATTTAAGAGTTAAATTTGAAGTTAATTCCAGAAATATTTTTATTGCTGGATATTTGTTTTTTGAGGCAAAATATTTCATGCTCAATAAGAAGCTTGAAAGTAATGCCTGAATAGTCTCCAGGGACCTGTGAGTGCTGAGCTTATTGACTGTGGAAGGAGAATGCTGCCTCCACAATTCTGGTCTGTGTGGCTCTTAAAGCCCCAGCCAGGGAACAGTGGATGCAAATGAGTTAGCATTTGGAGGATTCTGTTATCTTGCCGGTGGCAACCCAGAAGGCAGGACCCTTTCTTCAGAAAGATGTGAAATAAACTCAGTAAGTGCATTTTTTTCCAGAAGAGCCCAGGAATGATTTTATTGGTAAAAATGGCCATATTTCCACTTTTAAAAAGAAACTGTCAAAATAAGCATACTTGGCTGTTTTGTAATTTTTCTAGTAATTTTGATTTGCAGCAAGATGAGGTGGCTTACATCTGTAATCCCAAAACTTTGGGAGGCCAAGGCTGGAGGATAGCTTGAATCCAGGAGTTCAAGACCAGCCTGAGCAACATAGTGAGAACTTGTCTCTACAAAAAGTTAGCAAAATTAGCCACATGTGGTGGCATGCACCTGTAGTTTCAGCTACTCAAGAGGCTGAAGTGGGAGGATCGCTTGGGCTCAGGAGGTCAAGGCTGCAGTGAGCCAAGATCACACCACTGTACTCCAGCCTGGGCAACAGAGTGAGGTCCTATCTCCAATTTTTTTTTAATTTTTAAAAAATAAAAATTCTCAATAAATATTATCTATGACAACTACTGATGGCCCAATTTTTCTTTTTTTCTTTGGAAGCATAAGGAAATTAGGTCATTTTCTGAGAGCGAGGATGCCAGTACTTGAGGGAAATAATGAAGGCTTACATCAGCCATGGAGGGGCTTGGGCCAGAGAGATAGACATGAGGTAACAGAAAGGAAGAATGGCCAGACTAAGTGCCTGCCTGATATGGGAACCCAAGGATTGTCAGCGACCAATCTCCATGGTTTTATAATAATGTCCAGGAACCTTGGACTGCTCCTGTGGAAGCAGGAAAGACAGATGTTAGATCATAGATCTTTTTATTTATTTATTTTTAGACAGCATGTTGCCCAGGCTGGAGTGCAGTGGCATGACCATAGCTCACTGTAGCCTTGACTTCCTGGGCTCAAGTGATTCCCTCTCCCCAGCCTTTCAAGAAGCTGGTACAACAGGTATGTGCTGCTGCACCTGGCTAATATTTAATTTTTAAAAAATAGAGGCAGGGTCTTCTTATGTTGCTTAGTCTGGTCTCAAATTCCTGGCCTCAAATGGTCCTTCTGCCTCAGCCTCCCAAAGTGCTAGGTTTATAGGCATCAGCCACTGCGCCAGGGTGTGGCCAGGGTGTTCAGTAAAAGATAGTGGTGAAGGGAGTTGAGGATGCTCGTGAGAAAGTAAGCAGGACAGATGATGCACCTGAAGGCCCAAGCTTGTAGGAGAAGGAAGAGAGGACATGGGAGCTGATAGGCTACAAGAATACAGAAGGATCAGGGCTTGCAATCTGTGAAGGAGCCAGAGCAGTTGTGGAGGAAATAATAAAATAAGAGGTGGAAGGACAGGGGCTGTGGTCATAAAGACAGCATGGCAGTATTTAATTCCTCATAGCACCCATCCCTTTAGTAAGGACGCCCTTTGCATCCTGGCACACTGTCACCCATATGCAATCTATGATGCCCAGACTTCTTTCAAGTTAGGCTAAGTTCCAGTAACTAAGGTCCAAGTGGAAGGGTTGTGTGGAACTGAGCCTGCTGAAAAAAGAGGTGGTGAACCTTTTCAGCCTTCCTTTCATCTGGAATGCAAATGTCATCACGGGAGCACGAGAGGCCACCTTGGTTGCTGAGGCTGCTCACTGAATATGGGCAACAGAAACACAGAAGTCCCTACCTGGTCTCCCACCCCTGGAATGTTTTTGTTTTGTTTTGATTTTTAGGTAAAGGAGACATAAAGCCCTATGTGGTTTCAATTACTGTTATTTGGGGGTTTATTATTACTGTCAGCTGACCTGAAACCAAACATACAGAGTATGATGCCAAGTTTAAAGATTTCTGAAGTGAAGTATTGAAAGAACATCCAGGCTAAGGGCGTGAAGAATTGTGAGATGTAAGCATATATCTAGTGATTGCAACATTTTAAATTATGTTCTATTAACATCTCCACCCCTGTGGCTTTTCTCACTTGTCTTCATCTTACCATGAGATATCGAGCCAAACAGAACTGGTTTCATTATTTTCCCTCATGACATTTGAAGGCAACTGTTGTGGGCTCAACTGTGGTATCTTCTTTATAGGTCATGCATCCTCTAGTCTGTCAAGCTCTCTTTATGTGACAAAGTTTTGCATTTCTTTCCTCTGAGCATGCCCCCACTTCCTCCAATTCAGTTTTCAAGTGTGAGGTCCAGACCAGAACACAGAGTGCAGGTGTGGGTCCGAACAGGCAACCATCTCCTTCACTCAGAAGGACAGGCTTCTATGACTTCATTATCCTTTCCAGCAGGCACCTCACATTTTTCATTCACATGGAACTTTGTTTTGATGAGACTCACCCACGTTGCTGTTAAAGCCACATCTTCTCCAATATCGAGTTGTGTAGTTCTGATATCTTTTAAGTGCAAGTGCACAGCCTTGCACAGCTGGCCCTATTAAATTTCTTCCGTAAAACTGGCTTACTGCTTCAGCCCACAGAGATTTTGGAAAATCTGATTGTTACCCATTGTACTTCCTCTCAGCAAGCCTCATTTGGTTGCAGTTTTGGTAAGCCTGATCTGTTTCTTCATCTACATCACTGACCAAATGTTAGACAAGCTACCTTGCTGTCAGACAAGGACGTCCTCCCTCCATGCTGCCATTCACCAATCAATTCATCAGATTCAGGGGAGTGTAATCGGCAGCAAATTACTGTTCTTATGATTATATTCAGGATTTCTTAGCCCAAGAAAAAGAAAGCTTAAAAAGCTTCCTATTGTGAATCATTTGGTCACTGCAGGCTATTTGGAGTGAGTAGCTTTTTTGCTGGTATCCCTATAAAAGGGTTCATTGTTCACATTTGTTAAAACTATGATGTGTCAAGCTCCAGCTAGATCAGTTTTCCTTATGGCGATGAGGTGTGTGTTACATCAGGGATTCTGAGTTGTATGTGCAAATCCTTTAAGAGGACACTGGAACATGTGCCTCCATGAGGGAGGTGGCCGCATGTGCTTATCCTATTTTGAGGCATGACTTTGAAACTGCACCAGCAATCACACAAATGTACCCGGAGTTTTTGCCTCCTCATTTATAAGCCACATTGATTTGGATCCTGGTTTCTAGGATTTAGCCATGGTTTCAAGGGGTCAGTGAAAAAAGAGCATTTGAAATTATGCAAATCACTGTAAGCTTTTAGGAGATCTTTCCTTTCTGGAGAGGACAGATGTCCATTTTTGTTCCCTAAGTGACATATTCTTAAAGGAAAATATTTACCTTTTCAGAGCTACTTATTTTACTCAAGTTTTTTACCTTTTAACATGCTAAAACTTAATGCTTTTTATTTTCCATGGTAGTAGAGAGCAAGTTTATTTTCATACTGATTTGAACCCAAGGAAGTTCCAGGTTTGAGTGTAATACTAATGGCAGAATGTTGCTATTACCTTCTTCATTCGCTCTTAGGGGCATTCAAGCAAGAGAAAGATAAATGAAAATTTCTGGACTGAAACCTACATCTGTTAAGAACACATACTGGTTTTGTGCCCATTCGAAGTTGTTGAGGTCTCCAGTCATGCAGAAACTCATCTTTTGATTATATCCCAATTCTTGGGGCCTCAGGACAGGGAGGAAAGTAGCTTAGAGGCAGAGGAGGTGGACAGGAGATTCTCCAATGGCAAGACCCAATCTGGTACCAGCTACGATCCTAGTTCAAGGCTATGACAGAGGCTGATCTGTTAGTTTTGGGGCTTGCTGTCATGTAAATCTGTCGAGATCTTCTTGGCTCTTGTATACCACGCTCTCCTATAACGATCGGAGATAGCTGTATTTCACACCATGCTGCCCAAGCCAGCCAGAGGCAGTTTTACATTTTTAATTCTTGTTAGACTCTTATTTTGTTTAAGGCATGTTAAAAGATTTATAAATATGATCGCATTGAACAAACACCCTCTGAGGTAGATATGATGCATCATTATCCACCTGTCACAGATGTAGGATGTGAAGATCATGTTGGCTAATGAATCCTCTTAAGGTCACATAATTAGGAACAGCTGACCAGGATTTAGGCCCAGGTCTGCTTGACCCCAAAGCCTAGTTTATTCTCACTACTCATGCTGCTTTCACTTCCTCTGGGCAGCAGGATTCTTCTATTTTGACTTCCTATTAAAATGGAATCTTGGAGGGGTCAGAGCAACCTTGAGGAGACAAACAGCCTGCAGTGTCTGTCTGGGTCCACCCAGCACTTCCTTCCTCCTGACTCATGCCTAAGTGTTTGCTTCCACATTCTCTCACATAATTCAACTACGTCAAGGTCTACAATTTCTGAGATTTGACCCTGACCTGACCTGGGGATTGATCTGACTAATGAGGGAGGGGTTTTGATTCATTTAGAAGGAAATCTTATCAAATTCTTTCTGGCCCGTCTACCCTTTGTAGTTATGTGTGGCCAGCGGCTTGGTCACCAGCGTCCTGGTCACAGGTAAGTGGCCCTACCCCTTAGAGAATGTTACGACCAAGGGGAATTGGGACCAATATGTTACTTGGGTCGAACGTTCAAGTAGAAGCATGATACTAATTTTTCGTGATGTATCTCTGTCTTGTTCTAAAGAACAAGGAGTTCTTTCTTATAGAATCATAACAGATAGGCATTAATTATAGTACTTGGACTTCAGGAAGAAAAACACCAAAACTAAATGATTAAAAAGATCGTAGCTCCAAGAGTTCAGCTGAGCCAAAGGGTTCTACCCAACAAGGAGACAAGTTCCCATTGAGGCTGAGAGCAGCCTTCCTGCCTTTGAGGGAAGCTGCTCCTCCTGTCAAATTTGCTTTGGCTTAGAGTTGTGTTTTTCTCACCATCAAAATCCATTTTAAACATTAACCAAAGTGACTGTGGATTCCTGAAAACCTCTCTAACATGAATACCAGAAATTTCATGGAAAGAGGTTGTTATTGGTTATATTCAAATGGTTTCGAACTGCAAAGTAGGAAATATAAAAAGAAAGTGTAAGATGGGTTTTGATTTGGGACCCTTCAAAGCAAATCCAGAGGAATAATCAGATATAAGAAGATAACAGCCCACTTTTTCCATATCCAGATTTGAAATTATAAATAAATTCTAATTTAAGGCCTGCATGTGATTTTTAGGCCTGCTGTAACAAAGCACCATAAATAGAGTGGCTTAAACAACAGAAGTTTATTCTCTCCCAGTCTGGAGTCTGGAGGTCCTAAATCAAGTTGCTGACAGGGCTCGTTCCTTCTGAGGGCTGCGAGGGCAGGATCTGTTCCAGGCCTCTCTGGCTTGTAGACAGCCTTTCGGATTTTCTGTGATTGCTCTGGGTAAACATCAAAAGGTTTAATAGTGTTTATCTTTTTAAAACATGGTTTTAACAACTGAATAGAAAATGAATTGCCCTAGGACAGAGTAAGAACAGAGGAAAGAAGACCAGCTGGAGTCCAGAGCATGTTGAAACCATCCTGACTAGAAACTGTGAGGGTGTGACCTAAGGCAACAGTGAAACAGGGGCTGGATTAAAGGTAGAGCTTTCCTGCATCAAAGGACATTATTGCAAGCCTACAGAATGAAGGAAAATACTTGCAAATTATATATCTGGTAAGGTTCTAATATCTAGAATATATAAAGAACTCTTACAATTCAACAACAAAAAGACAAACAGCCCAATGAAAATATGGGCAAAGAACTTAAATGGACACTTATCCAAAGAAGATATTCAAGTGGTCAACAAACACTAGAAGCTTAAAATCATTAATAATTAGGGAAATGGAACTCTGAACCACAAAGCAGTGTGACTTCACTAGAATAACTATGATTTAAAAGAAAAATAACAAGTATTAGCAAGGCTGTGGGGAAACTGGAATCCCGTATGATGCGGGTAGGAATGTAAAATGGTACAGCCACTGTGGAAAAACAGTTTGATGGTTCCTAAAAAAAATCAAATATAAAATAAAAATAAGTTCATAGCAGTATTATTCGTAATGCCCAGAAGACAAAAACAACCCAAGTTTTCCTCAACAGATGAATGGATAACCAGATACGGTATAGATGGCCTTCCTTAGCCATGGGTCCTGCATATGTGGACTCCACCAAGTTCAGATAGAACATATTTGAAAACAAAAGATTGCATCTGGATTGAACATATAGAGACTTTTTTCTTTTCCATTATTTCCTAAACAATACAGTTTAAAAACTGTTTATATAGCATTTATGTTATATTTACAATTATTTAAGTATAAATATAGCAATATGTATATTTAGATTTAAATATAAACATTTAAAATTATATTATATATAAAATACATTTAGATATACATTATATAAATTGTTATAAATATATATGTATTAATGATTACATAAAATAAATATATAATATATACATATAATATAAATATTATAAATGCTATGTATTTATAGTAATATTTATTCTTAGCACTTATAAATTTAGCATAGTAGTATACATATTTATATTGTATTTATAATATAAATTTATATATTAAATTTTTATTTATATTTATATAATATAGCATAGTAGTATACATAGCATTTATAGAATATTTATGTTGTATTTACAATGTATTAGGTATTATAAGTAATTTAGAGATATTTTAAAGTATACAGGAGGATGTGCATAGCTAATGTGCAAACACTGTGCCATTTTATAACAAGGACTTGAGACTTGAGCATCTTTGGATTTTGGTATTACAGGAATGGCAGGAACCAATCCTTCATGGATACCAAGGGATGACTACATATACAGTCAATTCTCATTGTCTGTAGTAGTTATGTTCTATAATCACTACAAAAATGAATTAGTGAATGTCAAATTATTGCTACTAGGGGGAAAAAGGGTCCTGTGAGCATCTACTCAGTATTTTGGTCAACTAATCAGTGCATGACCTTGTTTTGTGTGTGTTTCTGCTTAAAGAGACTTCAATATATATTGTTGATTCATCAACACAGAACTCACAGACAACAGCACCCATGCTTGAATGAAGATCCTCTGACACACATATTGTCTCCATCACAGCCTTCTTGCCCGTAGGGATCCTAGACAGCACTTCAGCAGTAGGACTGGGTTAGGGACACTTTAAACACTGAAATCCACAACAAAAAGCCCAAAAAACATGGAAAACATGTTACCAAACAGACCACAAAAATGACACTTTTTTATAGTATAAGAGCTGAAATAAGAAAGCAGAGCTCTGATTTGTAAAACCTCAGCTAAGAACATGAGCACCAGGAAAGTGAAAGATTTTGCCACTCCTCACATTCGTGAATGACCACACAAACCCCATGAGTACTGATTTGGGGATTACAAATAAACTTTAACAAGTAGAAAGATTTGCAATTATGGAATCTGTGAATAATGAGGATCCACTCTATGTACAATGAAATATTATCCAGCCTCTATTTCTGTAAAATAAATGATACATGCTATAACATGAATAGACCTTGAAAACAGTTAAGTGAAATAAGCCAGGCACAAAGCAACAAATATTGTGTAGTTCCACTCATGGAATTTCTGCATAGACACACTTGTAGAAGCAGAAAGTGATTAGCAGTTACCAGGGACGCTCAGTGTACATGTGTGTGGTCGCGGGGCAGAATTTCTGTGTAAGGTGATAAAGAATTTTAGAAATAGTGGTGATGATTGCACAACATTTTGAGAGTATTAATGGGACTAAATTGTATGCTTAAAAATGGTCAAAATGCCACATTTTAGTTATATATATTTTACACAATTGAACAAAAAATTTAGACACATTAAGACAGATACGGTAACCAGTTAGTTGCCTTTGAGGGGTCAAAAAAAAAAAAAAAAAAAAAAAACCCAGACAGTGCAAGCAAGATGTATTTAGCTCTCAGTGGAAACAAGCGATGGTACTTGAGTAGCATTTTTTTATTAATATCTTCATACTTGTTATCCTCTCGTCTGACCCTGGAGCTCATTGCTCTCAGCATGGTGGTGCTGTACACACAGCCGTCACTTCTGCATGTCACTGTGAGAGTCCCTAACTGTCTGATCCATAGAAAGGCTGCAACAAATGACAGCTGCATTGTCTCCACAAGGGAGCAGGGACACATATTTAAGTGTAACGTCTGAGGGTTTTCTGGCTTGCCTACTGAGTTGTTAATAAAGCAACTTAGCCCTATTAACTAGTCCTGCAAGCTCCTCACTTCCCTACACGTGATTACCTCCAGAAAACGCCTCTCACTTTTATATTGCTTCAGTCCCCTGCATGGTTTCTAACTCCTTTCTGTTATTTTCTCAGTGGGGGAAAGAAAATCAATTCAGAGTGACTGGAAGACATTCAGCTTTATCTAAGAGTGATCGATGGCAAAAATTATCATCTTTGTTTTTCTCTTGTTCCAAGAAGCTGAGCTTCAGAAAAAAAGCAGATGGTGAGGAAAATATAAGGTAATAGCACCTCAGGGGCAAGGGTTCGGAAGGGCTTTGTGGCTCATTCAAGAGTAACATTCAGGATGCGACTGGGGAAATAATGCGTATGTGAGCAGAAAGATAGATTTACAAAGAAGCTGAAGCAAATAGGCATTTGACGATTCTTTATGTAATATGCATATTCAAAAACTAAGGTTTAGCCATGAGTCTTCCATTAAAATAATCACTTGTGTGCTACATGATTGTTCATTGGCCCAGTAGCTGCCTTGTAATTAGGAGATAGGTGTTCTGATTATACTTTTTATTTTACCAAAGGTAAAGAACAGAATATCTTGGAAGACAAGTTAGAAACATGATGTATTTTACATTTCTCATGATTTCCTCTTATACATGCAAAAATGTATACTTTGTTATTGCTGATGAATCTTTTTAATTCTATTTCATATGATGAAAAAAATATTCATTTAAGTATTTGCAATGGATTGAATGTTTGTCTCCCTCTAAAATGCATATGTTGACGTCGTTTTTTGTTTGTTTTTGTTTTTTTGAGATGGAGTGTCCCTCTGTTGTCCAGGCTAGAGTGCAGTGGTGCAATCCTGGCTCACTGCAACCTCCGGCTCCCGCGTTCAGGTGCTTCTTCCTGCCTTAGCCTCCCAAGTAGCTGGAACTACAGGTGCACGCCACCATGCCGCGCTAACTTTTGTATTTTTAGTAGAGACAGGGTTTCTTCATGTTGGTCAGGCTGGCCTCAAGTAAGCCACCCATCTCTACGTCCCAAAGTGCTGGGATCACAGGTGTGAGCCACCGTGCCTGGCCATATGTTAATGAACTCTCAACCCCTAATGTGATGTAGTATTAGGAAGTGGGGCCTTTGAGAGGAAATTAGATAATAGTAGAGGCCTCACGAATGGGATTAGTACTCTTATAAAAGAAACCCCAGAGAGCTTTCTCACCTTCTTTCCCTCATATGAGGGCACAATGAAAAGAAAGTAGCCTGCAACTCAGAAGAGGACCTTACAAAGAACCTAACCTGCTGGCACCCTGATCATGAATTTCTAGCCTTCAGGACGATGGAAAATACGTTTCTGTTGTTTGTAAGCTACACAACCCATGGTACACTGTTATAACGGCTTGAATTGACTAAGACAGTATTGAAATAAAGGTTGTCAATCTAAAGGGAAAAAATAACAATCTTAGCCAAGTTAAACCAAGGGTTTCTTATTGAGAAATTAGGTGTCAACCCTCATGTGCCAGTCTCTTGTGACATGTGCTTGACTTAAACCTCTCGCTAGTGACAAAGAGTGGCTCCCTCTACCACTACTGCAAGCCAGGCAACATTAGGGAATTTTTGTTGCTGCAATGTGGAGTCACAGCACCTTGTTAGGCATTCAGCAATAAAAATGTATTTCCTTGTGCATGTTACCAAGTCAGACCCTGGAAATTATATCAACCAAATTATGGGGGTTGAGTGTAATTCACCTTTAGACAATGTTGAAAGAAAAACTTTAGACAAATTTAATCTAACAATTTATTAATATTTCAGCAAAAAACCATTCATGTATCAGGCAGCACTCAGAACTGGAGAGATTGAGAGCACGCCACTCTGCCACACAGGCAGTAATTACAGATAGAAAACAGAAGTAAAGTATGGAATTAGCTTGACTGGGTACAGGTAGGTATTTGTTGTATTTGGACGTGGTCTGATCAGTTGGCAGCCTTTGACTGACTGACATGCAGCTGCTAGCTAATAGCTGAGACCCAAAAAATACTCTTCAATTAGGTTTTGGTTAATTTACATTTATACACAGAGAGCAGAATATCTTGGGGGACAAGTTAGAAACATGATGCATTTTACATTTCATGTAAGGTTGCAGTTCCTTGCATAGAAACTCAAAGTACTGAAATCGCTTCAGGCCATGGCCTCGTGTGTATTTAATTTAACAGCAGATAGGCTTTGGTACTTCAGAGTCCCATGAACAGGCATAGGTGCAATGAACAAGGCATGGTTTGCTCTTGGGTACAGTGAGAGAACAACTTTCTTGAGATGTGCTTTGTGTGTGTGCATTAGCGTGTGTGGTGCTGTCTCATCCAATCACTAACTCTCCACGGAAGGGTCACAGGTTGTTCAATTAAGGAGATTATAGCTAAGTATGAACTGTTGGTGGCCACAAGTCCATGTGCTTGCTCTTGGGGAAGGGGAAAAGATACCAAGAATGACTCTGTTGAAGGTTGTGAAAGGAAATCCAGTCTTTTCAGACAGAAATGAGTACTCGACAAGGAAAAGGGAAATCAAATCAAGGTGAAAGAACATGATAACTTCAAGAAAGAGAAGGCTCTTTGTTAAGTTACACCTTCAGGGCAATGTATCATCAGGCATGAGGCTCTGTCTTCAGAGGTGATTAGAACTTCCAAGGGGAAAATAAGAATATTTAAAAGAAGTGGTACGGAGGGCTTCTGTTACAGATGATGGAGGAGGAACAAATGTGTCAAGGCCGCTGGTGATTCATGATGGATGGTTTCAGACAGTCTGCACTGGCCGGATAAGGGCCACAGGAGAACACTGGGCTCAACTTCCTCCCTTAATACATGAATAACACAAGGCCTGAAGGAGTCATATAAGGTAAGTGGGACCAAAGTCTTAATGGGTGCTAACTCTTCTTAATAACACTGCTTTGGTTTCACCATGGCACTCAGGAGGGAGCTATTTTAAAGGAGTATCTAGCTTTGGGAAGGAATACCACATTCTATCTGCAAAATATTCCTATAGCATGTAAGAATCACAGATCATTTGCTGAGCCCTTATGACTACCAGGCACAGTTATGTGAACATTTATACATATTCTTTAATTTTATTTTTACAACAAACTTATGAGGGATTACTGTTATTTTATACTATACGCCATAATGCTTTATAGCATATTTTCCTACTATTATTATCTCCCGGTTACAAATGTGGAAACCGGGGCACAGACCAGGAGCTAGGCATAGAAGGAATTCATTTTGTGCATCATCTTCGAGTATAAGAGAAGGTTAAAGTATTTTTGCAACAAACAGAAATTAACATTTTAAAGTGTTTGATCACCCCATGGGAATCACATTTATGAGGAATCATAGTGATAAATTACCATGAACCTCTCCAGGACCCTCTAACACTCTGCCTACCTCTATTATGGTACTTACCTGCCACACTGCAATTTTCTCCTTTCTCATCTCTTCCTTTGTGAGACTAGACGATTTGAGGACATGGAATCCATTTTCATTTCTATATCCAGCACGGGCCACAGTGCCTGGAACATTGTAGGTGTGCAGAATGTGTTTGCTCAGTGGTTTCATTTACTCCACTCTGTGATCATTCCAGGATAACACTGTTTATTTTTCCCAGCCTTATCCTTACTCCCACATGCAGGATGGATGGGGAAGCTGATTGCTCTATGTAGAATGATTTGACCAAAGTGACGTCTTGTGTTCTAGAAGAATATCCTATGTGTCCCAGGAAATCAAGTTAGCCAGATTTCAAAAAAGAAAGCCAAGTTCCAAAGGTGGAGATGTTGTTAGAGACAAGAGTTTAGAACTTGACTACCTCTAGCACATTCTGCAGGGCTCATTTCATGGTGCATTTCCTCTGAGACCCTATCCTTACTCACATGGATTAGATTCAGAGGCCTTCCTCCAAGTTCTCACAAGACTGTTTTTTCTTCGCTTAGCATTGTATGGTAATTGTCTGTTAATTTGTTTTTCTGTCCTCATCTGCCATTAGACTTGGGTTCCTTGAATGAGAGAACTATATGTCAGTCATATCTCAGGGATCTAGCACAATGTTGGCACATAATATATGCTCAAGAAATACTTGTTATATCAGGGAATGAATGAACCAAGAGAAAAGAGACTCAGTGAAAGCAGGCTGAGATCAAATGGGATTAGAGACAGAACACAGTGCGTCAAAAACGCTGTCTTGAACACAAGCTGATATTTGTGATTTCCTTTCCAGGGGACATTGTATATCAGCCTAGCTTAACAACCAGAGGGGAGGCCGGGCATGGTGGCTCAAGCCTGTAATCCTAACACTTTATAAGGCCAAGGCAGGCAGATCACCTGAGGGCAGGAGTTCGAGACCAGCCTGGCCAATATGATGAAACCTCGTATCTATGAAAAATACAAAAATTAGCCAGGTATGGTGGCAGGAGCCTATAGTCCCAGCTACTTGGAAGGCTAAGGCAGGAAAATCACTTGAACCCAGGAGGTGGATGTTGCTGTGAGTTGAGATTGCACCACTGCATTTCAGCATGAGTGACAGAGTGAGACTCTGTCTCAAAAAAAAAAAAAATTAAAATTAAAATAGAAAAATAAAATAACCAGAGGAGAGATGGGCAACTCATCCCAGGTTTGGGACCTCACCAGTTCTCCCAGTGAAATTCCTTAATGTGCTCTCATGGTTTCCAAATTTATTTCAGTCCAAAATTATCACAATGCAGCTCAATCTGTAAAATGGATGAAAGCAGAGTTTTTCTAGTTGAAGTGGGTCAGAGGACTCAGACTCCACCCGTTGGCCCTTTTCTGCTATCAGCCCACTTCTTCCCCCCACCCCTTCCAATTCAGCAGCACCCAAAAGTGCTTCATAGAAGCCTAGTTTTCAAACCAATCTTGTAAAGCTTAAGACATGATAGAAGGAGCCACGACTGCTCTTCTGGTCTGTTTTCTCTAGCGGCAGTGGGCATTGGAGCTGATGGTCGGCATGCAGCACAGAGCAGGTGGTCTCATGACTTCCTTGGCCAGTTTACATAAGATTGTTGCATGTCATCTCCATTGTTGCTTCATTCTGTGTCTTCTCAGCTCTGCTTTCTATTCAGCCATTTGCTGTGGCTGATAGCTTCATGCAAGTGTAGCCAGGCAAGACCTCCCCAGCTGCACTGCCCATCTCTTGCTTTCTGTCTCTGGGCTTCTCTCCAGCCCCAGCCTATGAAAGTCCACTCAGCCATCACGTGCTCAAACCTGGAATCAAATCAGGGAAATCCTTGACCCATGGAGAATAGGAGTTATAGGTAAATACTGCTGTCTTCTGTAATTTGGGTGAACAACTGAGGCACATTCAGTGAAGTCCATGTGGCTCATGCCTATAATCCCAGCACTTTGGGAGGGTCCAGTGGCTCATGCCTATAATCCCAGCACTCTGGGAAGCCAAAGCAAGCAGATCATCTGAGGTCAAGAGTTCGAGACCCACCCAGCCAACATGGTGAAACCCTGTCTCTACTAAAAATACAAAGATGATCTGAGCTTATTGGCATGCACTTGTAATCCCAGCTACTTGGGAAGCTGAGGTAGGAGAATTGCTTGAACCTGGGAGACGGAGGTTGCAGTGAGCTGATATTGTGCCACTGCACTCCAGCCTGCCTGGGTGACAGAGCAAGAGTCCCTCTCAAAAAGAGAAGATCTCTTAAAGATTGTGTCCGAGTCACCCATAGCAGTAATGACCACTGGAACAGGCTTTCCTCCTTCACTGTTGTATTCTTCCCAATTGTTCAATCCTGTTTCTCAGGATCTACCTAATACAAACTACCTACACTTATGCTATTGTCTCGGGTTGACTGGGGTGGGAGTGTGGGGGGTCAACCAAGTTAAGACATTCCCTTAGACTCTTTATCTTTCTGCTTAGTACTTATCATCCCTGATGTGTTTTATATTAATTTATGTTTATTTTTCTCCCTTACATAGAATATAAACAGCACAAGAGCTGAGACTTCATTTCTTTCAATGGGGTATTACCAATGCTTTGAATAATGCCTGGTACATAGTGAACACTCAGTAAGTCTTTTTAAAATGAATCTGTTGAATCTGTTGCTATATTTCTGATTCCCTGGCTGTCAGGGTGGATGTGAGCTGGACATGTTCATCAGGAGACACAGACACTTGCTGGTGGACCAGAGTCCAGTGTGGATGTATGCAGAGCTAAACAGGTTCCCACTACCACCAGATATGAAGTCTTTTGTAGACTGCAAGGCTCTCCTCACAATAGACAGCGTGCACAAAGCACCATCCACACCACAGCTGACACACAGCCACCCTGCCTCACATTATGCCCATTCAACTGGTGTCACAGGAGACAGGAGACTTGGGGGTCATCTACCTTGGACCAGACTTGAGCCAGTGAGAAGGGGGACTCCTTGTTGCAGTAAGAAGCCATGACTGGTCCCAAGTTGGGCCTCCAACCTCTCTTGTTGAAGGGAGAACAGGCCAGGACTCACCACTCCTGGCCATACTGGGGTTGGTTCCCACAGCCATGAGGTAGGAACAAGGATTTCTCTAGTGACAATGAGAAACGCTGGGAGGCATTTGACTGCCAAAAAGAACAGGGATGAGCTCCAAATCCAGAGGTCCGAAGAATGAAGAACGAGGATAATGAAACCAAGTAAAGAGCCCCCAGAATTAAATGGGTGGTGCATGTGGGTATTTGCACTAAATTATGGCTGATTGAGTCTTTGGCTTTATATACTGTCAGAAGGGCCGCAGCCTGGCTGTAAGGACAGGTGTGGGGCAGCTGCTATCATACAGCTTAAAAACCCTAAGAAGAAAATAGTCAGAGCTCATGAGCTAAAAAATACAGCAGATCTGGGGACCAATAGGCTCAATTATTTGGAACTGTAAAATGTATGGTGACTGTAATTGCACTAGGTCACTCTTGGTGAAATACTGCAGCAAATGCTGTAAGACTTATCTCTGGGAATAGCATTTTTAGTGCTATCTTTAGAGATACCACTGGACTGGTAATAACGCTGACTCTTCATGGTTGGGGGCATTTAAAATAATCTAGAGGGTTTTGTCTCAAAATAGCCTAGAAAACTTGCTCAAAATGCAAATTCCAAGACCTCATCCCAGCAAGATTCCAAGCAAGGAGGGGATCTTTAACAACCCAGGCAATTCTGATACTAGGCCAGTCAATACCACACTTTCAAGTGTTTTTTCAAAACACTGGTTTAATACATAGCATGATTTTCTGGCTCAAGAACTTTTGCAACTCATTGACATTTGAGAGGCCTACACCACTAAATAATTCTATATTCTTATGTCCCCCAGACTCAATCACCTTTTTCATGCAGTTGTAGTGATTTGGATTTACTTTACACTCTGTCTGGAATATCTCACTTATATTTTGGAACACATTGTGGAACAGGGAATTCATTTCCAGTCTGATCAGCTGAGAATTAAATATATAACTGTCCAGTTGCCTCAAACCTTTCCAGAAAGGTCTGAAAAATATGTACACCCATCTCCCCCACTCCCCCACCAAAAATACATTAAAAGATCTTTCCAGGTTTTTAATACCTTCTTTTTTTTTTTGGTGCTTTAGGTTCTGGGTACATGTGCAGATCATGCAGGGTTGTTGCATGGGTACTTACATGGCAAGGCGGTTTGCTGCCTCCATCCCCCCATCACCTATATCTGGCATTTCTCCCCATGTTATCCCTCCCCAACCTCCCCACCCTGCTGCTGTCGCTCCCCTGGCCCCCCCACAACAGACCTGCTTATAATACTTTTAATGGTGGTACAGACATCAGCAAAGAACGCAAAATTAAGAAGCTTGCGCAGCATCCTGTGCTTTGGGTTTGTTTACCAGGAAGAGATGAGAGTTGAAAGGAAGCCGAGAGAGCTACATCACTGCCACACGAAGACAGACCCCAGGCCCATGTGTTCCCTTCACATGGGAAGGGAAGGCAGCACTTCAGGTCACACAAGCAGGTTTCTTGGCAACTGTATGTTCTTCTTTCAGACACCTTTCAAGTGGCATATGATCTTTTGTGATCTACCTTTCCATCCTTTCTCCTGTCTACCAGAACGATCATCAAGAAATCTGGGCTCTGCACCAACTCTAGTCATGGTGCAGCAGAAATCACTGTAGTGAAACTTTAGTCCAGGAGAATGGAGAGTTGAAGTCTCTGCTCACGTAAGGACATCAATGACAGAATCCACTCTGGAAATGAGCATTGTGTCCAGTTCCAATCATAATATTTATTTAGAGGATAATATTTAAGAAGAATAGGTACAAACTAAATAAGGATGAGGGGTTCTTATAAGTCTTTTAAAAATGGGAAATGTCTAAGAAAGCAGAGTATCTTTGCACATTTAATTTTTAAAAATGTATTATAATATATAATATTTCAAGAATTCTGAGATGCATGTCTTTTCATGTTTTAACAACTCTGAAGCCATCCAAACAGCAATGACTCAGATTAAAAGGTAGCACAGTACCAATATATTGAAAACTCCTGGTGTGTCTCCCGAGTCACATTCCACTCTCTTACCTTCCTCAGGTGACCGTTACCTATATTTTTACATTTGTCATTGCATTCCTTTTTAGTATAATTACCTTTTATATGTATGTATCTTTACTAAGACATTGTATTTTTACGTTCTGGAGATTTTATAATTGATATTGTACTACAGTTTTCTGTAAATTTCATTCAACATCATTTCTGAGATTTATCAATGTTATATATGATTTAATCATTTACCACTCAGTATTCCATTATATGAAAGCACCAAATTTATTCATCTTCTATTAAGGACACTTGAGTTGCTGCCAGAGGGCAACTCAATTTTGTTTTCTTTTTGCCACTATAAAGAATACTGTGGTAAACCTGGTATATGTTAAAATCTATTGATTTATAGGTTCTAGACATAATCATTTGTATTATGTATGCCACAAAGATCTTCTAGTTTATGGGTTGTATTTGTTACTTTCTTTATTGTATCATTCTTAAAGTTTTATTTTATTTATAATTGACATAATTATAGATATATATGGGAGACAATCTGTCGTTTTAATACATGTGTATATTATATTATGATCAAATCCAACTAATTTTAGCAAACCTACCACCTCAAACACTTTTCACTTCTTTATGGTAAGAACATTCAAAATCCTCTCTTCTAGCTATTTTGAAGCATGCAGTATATTATTGATAACTATAGTCATCCTACTGTGCAATAGAAATCAGAACTTATTCCTCCTCTCTAATTGTACTTTTGTACCTGCTGACCAACCTCTTTCTAATTCTATTGGTCCCTGATAATCACCATTCTATTCTCTATTTATATGAAATAAGCTTTTTAAGATTCCACATACAGTGAGATCATCTGATACTTTTCTTTCTGTGTCCGACTTATTTCACTTAACCTAAGGTTTTCCAGTTTCATCCATGCTGTTGCAAATGGTAGGATTTCATTCTTTTTGTGCTGAACAGTATTCAAGTGTGTACATATTATATTTGCTTTAGCTGTTCATCTGTCGATGACGGTGAATAGTTTTTTTGGTGTGTTACTGAATTCAGTTTGCTAATATTTTGTTAAGAAACTTTGCAACTGTGTTTATCAGGGATATTGGCCTGCATATCCCTGAGGATATGTTTTTTGTTGGCATCCTTATCTGGTTTTGGTATCAGGGTAATGCTGGCATTATAGAGTTAGATTGGAAGAGTTCTGTCTCCTTCAAATTTCTGAAATAGTTTGAGAAGAATTATTAGCTCTTCTTTAAATGGTAGACTTCCAGCAGTGAAGGCATCTGGTCCTTGGCTCTTCTTTGGTGGGAGAATTTTTATTATGGATTCTATCTTCTTATTATTGGTCTGTTTAGATTTTCTATTTCTTCACTATTCAATCTTGGTGGATTGTTTGTGTCCAGGAATTTGTTCATTTCTTCTAGGTTATCTAATTTCTTGGCATATAGTTATTCATAATAGTTTCTTACGATTCTTTGTATTTCTGTGGTATCAGTTGTAATGGGTCCTTTTTCATCTCTGATTGTATTTGAGTCTTCTCTCTTTGTTAAACTGGCTAAAGGTTTGTTGATATTGTTTATCTGTTTTTTAAAAAAACAACTCTTCGTTTCACTGATCTTTTGTATTTTTTGTCTCTATTTTGTTGCTTTCTCCTCTGACTTCTATTATTTCTTTCCTTCTACTGATTTGGGGTTTAGTTTGGTTTCGTTTTTCCATTTCCTTGAGGTGCAACATTCAACTGTGTGTTTGTTCTATTTTTTTCTTCTTTGATGTAGGTATTTCTTACTAGACACGTCCTCGATTATTGCTTTTGCTGTTATCTCATAAGTTTTGATTCCATGCTGATTTGTCTCTAAAATTGTTAAAATCTTCCTTTTACTTTCCTCATCGACCCATTGGTGGCTAAGGTGTATGTTGTTTAATTTCTATGTATTGATGTAGTTTCCAAAGTTCTCCCTGTTCCTGATTTCTAGTTTCATACCATTGTGGTTAGAAACAATATAATTTTGATTTTTCAAAATTTATTAAGACTATTTCGTTGCCTACTATATGGTCTCTCCTGGAGAATATTCCATGTGCACTTGAGAAGAATGTGTATGTTCTGCTGTTGGATGGAATAATTTGCGTATATCTGCTAGGTCCATTTGTAAAAAGTGCTACACAATTTCAGTATTTTCTTTTTAATTTCCTGTCTCATTGATCTGTCTATTGTTGAAAGTAAGGTATTAAAATCCCCTACTATTATTGTATTGCCATCTATTTCTTCCTTTATGTTCAATAATATTTTCTATATATATTTAGGTGCACTAGTGTTGGGTGCATATATATTTAGAATTGTCAGATCTTCTTGGTGAATTGTATGCTTTATCATTAAATAATAGCCTTCTTTGACTCTCGTGACAGTTTTGACTTAAAGTCTATTTTATCTGATATAGGGATAGCTACCTCTGTTCTCCTGTTTACCATTCGCAGGGTGTATCTTCTTTATCTCTTTACTTTCAGCCTATGCATGTCTTTAAAGCTAAAGTGAGTCTCTTATAGTCAGCACGAAGTTGGATCTTATTTGTTTAATTTATTCAGCTACTCTATGTTGTCACTGGAGAATTTAAGGCATTTATGTTCAAAATAATTTTCTTTTTTTTTTTGAGACGGAGTTTCGCTCTTGTTACCCAGACTGGAGTGCAATGGCACGATCTCGGCTCACCGCAACCTCCGCCTCCTGGGTCCAGGCAATTCTCCTGCCTCAGCCTCCCGAGTAGCTGGGATTACAGGCACGCGCCACCATGCCCAGCTAGTTTTTTGTATTTTTAGTAGAGACGGGGTTTCACCATGTTGACGAGGATGGTCTCGACCTCGTCACCTCGTGATCCACCCGCCTCGGCCTCCCAAAGTGCTGGGATTACAGGCGTGAGCCACCGCGCCCGGCCCTCCAAAATAATTATTAATAGATAAGGACTCTTGCTATTTTGTTAATTATTTTCCAAAATTTTATAGATCTTTGTTCCTTTTTTCCTCTCTTATTTATCTTTGTATATTTGGTGAGTTCTGTTAGTGCTAAATTTGATACCTTTTTCTCTATTGTTTATCTGCTATAGGTTTTTTTATTTCTGGTTACCATGAGGCTTACATAAAATATCTTCTCATTATAATGGACTATTTTATACCAATTGCAACTTAACTTCAGTAGTACACGAACATTCTAGACTTTTAGCTCCCATTTTTATCTTTGATGTGACTGTGTCTTTTTGTATTATGCATTTCTTCACAACTTTTTATGGCCATAGTTACTTTTAACCGTTTTGCTTTTAACATCCATACTAGAATTATATATGATTTATAGAGCACCATACATTCTTGCAATATTCTGAATTTGGTTGTCTGAGAAAGACTTTATTTCTAAGGACAGCCTTGACTCCTTCGATGTACTTTGGCACTCTAGTTACGTCCATCAAAATGTAGTTGTTCATTATTGTTTTGGCTGTTTTTAGGGCAAAGGGGAATGGGTGCTAAGGTTTTCTAGTCAGCCATCTTGTTGACATCACTCCATCACTCTTATAACAGGATTTATTCATTATTATGTAGTTACATATATTAATCTTTGGCTTTATGTTATGTGTGTATATTTTGTCTTATTTAAGAAAAGTTTTCCTACACCAAAAGTATAAAAGATATACTTCAGTATTTCTTTTAAAGTTTTGCATTATTTTCCTTCAAACTTAAACTTTTAATCAACTAAAATTTTTGAGGTGTGTGTGAGATATTCCTCTAATGTAAACTTTTTCATATGACTAACCAAGTGTTTCAGCATACTTGTGAGCAGCCCATCTTTTCTTACTGATGCCCTGCCTCCCTGCCATAGATCTCCATGTCTACGTGGGTCTGTTTCCACCTTCTCTGATCTGCCCATTGGTCTCTTCATTGATACTGCAAAGTCACAATCATTATTCCTTCATAGTAAATCTTAATTCTGGTACGGCAAATTCTAATTTATTATTTGAGATGTCTTGCCTGTCATTGTCCCTTTGCTTTTACATTAATTAATTTGTACAGGTCTTTAACAAAACATTGGTAAAACTTTTATTGAAGCTGTTTTGAATCCATAAATCTATATGAATAAAAACTGACACTGATCCTTGAATGATCCTTTAATAAACTTAGTATGTTTCTTAATTTATTTAGGTCTATTTACTATCTCTTGATAAAGTTCTCTAAGTTCTCTGCACAATGGTTCTGCACATCTTTATGAGATATACTTTAGAATTACTTTTTAAACTTTTCTGGCTATAATAACTATCTGTTTAAAAATATTTTCCAGCTATCTTTGCTTTATAAAAATTCAATTGTTTGCTAGAAACTTTTATTAAACCTCTTACCAAAGCTAATAGTTTCTTTGCAAATCATTATAGATTTTTTTTGTGTAGACAATCAACCTCTGTGAATAATGAAAATTTATTTCTCCTTTTCCAATCCTTATAACTTTGTGTTATCTTAATGCATTGGTAGGGATCACCAATTTAATATATATTTTAAAAAACAACATCTTATCCTTTTCTTAATTATAAATGAAAAACTTCTAGAATTAGAAGCACTAATAATGTTAGTGCTAGTGTTTGGAAACACACCTTCAGATTTTAAAAGTCCTTTATTTTGCAAGTTTGCCAAGACTTTTTCATGAAGGGTATTGATTTTTACTGCATGTTTTTATGCCTCTGTTAAGATGATTATGATTTTTCTCTATTAATGTATTAACATGCTAACATATATGAGATTTTCTACTTTCCAACCAACATTACAGTTCTTGAAACAAACCCATAGTGATGTTTTATTATTTTATTTTTATATATTGCTAACTCAGATTTGATTTGCCAATTTGTTTTGGGTTGTTGGTTTTGTTTTTTTTTTAATCACCATTCATGAGTGAGATTTGTCTTCCATTTTCCTTGTATCGAATTTGTAAAACATTTACTAGCTTCATAAAATGTATTATGAGGAAGAATCTGTGTATGGTTGGAATGATCTATTTCTGGAATGTGTGGCATAACCTCCTGGTAAAGCCAGACGACTCTGTGCCAGGCAGTGGATTCAGCGTGTTAGGTGACTTGTCTCATTCGATCCTTGCAACAGGAGGAAATGGAAGCCTAGAGAAGTTAACGAACTGGCCAAAGATCACCCAGCTAAGAAATGACAGAGGGGAATGGAATGTAGCCTTCGGCCATCTGATTCAAAGACAACACTTCCTAACCATTGGGTACCAAAGAGTTTTTAAATGACTGCTGTGTGGCAACGTGAAGAATGATTTAGAGAGAACCAAAAATGGACAGTCATTGGAAGGATTCCTTATGAGTGACACATGGAACATGAAAGGAGAGACAGGATTTTTATTACTTAAAATTGGACCCTGGTAATGAACTGAAAAACTTTCAAATGCAATTTGGCTTGTGTCAAAAGTCCTCTGATTTTACTAATGTCCGTAGAGCAGGGCTTTAGATTTCATAGCCAACAGCCCCAAGAGCCTTCAAAAGCATGGCAGGCACGACTTCCTTGTGGGTTTGGGTTGCTTTGTAAGGCTGAGGGGCATGTATTGTGCTGCAGAGGCTTCCATAACATAGGACCTCCCTTTGTAAAACACTTCTCCTTGAGAGTTAATTCTGATTTATATTTCAAAGTGGGGCTAGGGTGTTTTGTTGAAGACTCCTTTCAATATAAACAGCAAATGTAACTTCTGAGACTTCTTGGAATAGTTTAGCTATGGTTACTGTTGTTTTGACTAGGCATACAAATATCCTACCAAAGTGAAAACAGGTTTTAAAAAATCCAGCAGATCACTTAAAAGACTATAACAGAGGATGTGTCTCTGCTCCAGGTGGGGATAGACTCTCCCAGAGAGCAATCAGATGCTTATGCCCAGGGGTGGCTCATGTGGGGTCTTTAGAGAACTAGCTTAGATTATCTATGTAGCTTGGGTCCCTTGGGCTGCTTTTGGAACAGCCCTGCAGAGGAGGGTGGGGACTATTGGGTCATAATGTCTGTTCTCCTCTGGTAGAATATATGAAAGGAAAGGGCAAAGGGTCAAGTCATTTCTAAAGTCCTGGATCCTCTTTTGTTTTTTCCTTTGGCCCTTTTATGTGTTAAACCTCTTCAGGTCAAACAATCTTTAATTTCATACAAAGTAAGCAGAAATCTGTGATTAACATGAAAATGAAGTATCCATTGACTAACATCAGAGCAGCAATTTCATGATTTTTAATTGGCCATCATCTCTTATCATTGCTACAAGAGGAGGAAAAAAAGCCTTCTTTTCCAGGCACTTGAATAAGTAAATATGACAAGGAGTTAAATAATGAAGACAAAAACAACTCATCCCACATATCCTTGGAGATACAGAAACAGGAAACTAATTCTCCTTCTAATTCTCCCTAGCTGAGAAGAACAATTGAAATGTATTCTATTAATGGAAATCACAAGGGGAAATACATAGAAAGTTGAATGGGAGCTATGTATTTAATTTTAAATATGTCTGGAATTTTTTCTTATAGCTCAAACTCCATGTAGTCTTTTTTTTTCCCACTAACCTTAACATTTGACCAAGTTCCTTTATTCATTTTGCTACTTAGATAGAATTCATTAAGTTCAGATTCTTCATTGAACTATGGTTCATGTACTTGAGTTATCACATAAAGGACTTTTCATTGTTTTGATATTTTGCACATTGTATTTGTGCTTATCCAAATTGATTGATTAAATAAAGAGGGTTTAGGAACAATTACCAAGGATTTCAGTGATGCTGAGTTGCATCATTAGAAATTGAGGATCTTAGGAACTGATTCTGCCAGTTTTAAAAAGCTAGGTGAAGCAACTCACAGACCACTGCAAAGGCCAACGATTCCCTGATTTGAGGTTTAAAGCTAAATTATTAAAACAAATATGGAAAGAGAGAGACTTCCAGTATGAACACGGCTGGGTAAGTCAGCATCTTTTTCCTTTTCCTCCTAGAGGTTATATGAAAGCTAACAAGGAGGAAGGAGCAAAACCATAAACTCTGTTTTCAGTAAAACTAGTATATAGTTATTATCCACTTACTTCAAAATATACATAAGAATGCCAAAACAAGCTTAGACTGGGCATAGCCAAATAGAAATGCAGAGAAAACCACAAAGATGACTAAATGTCTCAGAGCCAAGAAAAATATACTTCCTGAAGATTAGAAGTCTTACCCTGATGTGCAGACCTATATAGATCATTTGGATCAATGGGAGTAAAAACTGGGGTTAACAGGGAAGCTTGAGGAAGTCTCTCTGGATGCAGTTTGGCGCAGAGAAGGAAATAATAGAAGACCACACAATAATGTAGAAGAACTATGTAGAAAAGCCATTTTAGCATTAAGCACTGTGTCTGCATGATAGAGAAGAAGGAAATATTTAGGTTGTGAAGCCTGGAAGGCTGCACTACCCCTACAGACACACATGTACATTCACATGCTCATGCTCATACACAAACCTTCAGCAAAATCCAGTCCAAGAAAAATGTGTTTATATGAGTTATAAGAAAAAGTCACTACAAAAACATTGAATCAAAGATAGTATATAATTAAAAGTATGAGGAAAATCAGAAAACTTAAGACTAAGAATATTCACTGAAAATTTTAACTGTGCAGCAACTAAAAATTACAACCAAATATTTTACTATGAATTGAAAAGAAGAATTTAAGAAGGTATTCACTTTAATGAAAAAAGATTACAATGTAGAAATATAGAAATTGAAAGAGCAATATAACAAGAGATGAAATTAAAGTAGCAGAATTCAGGAAAGAAATATAAAAAAATGAAAATATCACAGAAATAAAAATGAAATCAGAATACAAGGGAGCCTGGGTGTGGTGGTTCACACCAGTAATCCCAGCACTTTGGGAGGCTGAGGCGGGTGGATCACTTGTGCCCAGGAGGTGGATGCTGCAGTGAGCTGTGATCATACCACTGCACTCCAACCTGGGTGACACAGGGAGACCCTGTATCAAACACAAACAAACAAACACAAAACCACAATGGAGAAGTGATACTAAAAAAGCTACAATAAGTAATACAGAGAATATATAAAAAGTAAACAATATAAAATAGAAATAAACAGATAAAAAGATTATACACACACACAAGGATAACTAGAGAAGACAGACAAGGTGATCCAATTTGTACACAATTGGAGTCTCTAAGAAGGATTTAAACAAATAATTTAAGGTACATTCAAAAACATGATTCAAGTAAAAGAAAATTTGAAAAAATAAGTATACCCTTATATATACACACACATATATATGAAGGGCATACTATGTGCTAAAAAAAGATGTCTGTTAATGTTGAACACTGAGACATGAAATAAGACAAATGGACCCCACATAGTAAAAGGTTCTTAAATTCTAATAAAATCTACTATAATTGATAAAACTAAGACAAAATAAAATTACAATAGCAACAAATATAAAGGACCCAACAAATATAAAGGAACCTACAAGGTATGGTTCAGAAAGTTTGAAAATATAAAAAGATAAATAAAGGAGAATTGGGCACATTTAAGCACACCATCAATCAAAAAGGAGACGTTATAATCTTAATAGCAAGCAAGGTGGAATATGATATGGTTGCATGAGTGCTAAATAATAAATAAGCCTGGTTGTTCATTATAGTATTATTTACAGTAGCAGAAGATTGGAAACAGACCTATGTCCATTAACAGGGGATCAGTTAAATAAATAATAATTACTAGATATGGTTTGGCTCTTTGTCCCATCCAAATCTCATGTTGAATTATAATCCCCAGTGGAGGTGGGGCTTGGTGGGAGGTGACTGGATCATGGGGGCAGTTTCTAATGGTATAGCACCATCCCCCTAGTGCTGTCTCATGATAGAGTTCTTGCAAGACCTGGTTGTTTATAAGTGTGTAGCATTAGCTGGGCATGGTGGTATATACCTGTGGTACCAGCTACTCAGGAGGCTGAGGCATGGGGAAATATATATATGAATAAAGAAATCTGGCAGGTGAGGGCTACAGTGAGCCAAGATTTTGCCACTACACTCTAGCCTGGATGACAGAGTGAGACCTGTCTCAAAAAAAAAAAAAAAAAAAAAAAAAAAAGTAGCACCTCCCCCTTCTTTCTCTTCCTCCTGCTCCCACCATGTAAGACGTGTTTGCTTCCCTTCCACCATAATTGCAAGTTACCTGAGGCCTCCCCTGCTATGCTTCCTTTACAGTCTGCAGAACCAGAAGCCAATTAAAATTTCTTTCTTTCTTTATAAACTACCTAGTTGCATGTAGTTCTTTATAGCAGTGGAAGAATGGACTAATACGCCTAGTTTGGAATACTATGCCATAAATCAAAAATAATTTTAAAAAATCATTCTATATGCGGGCTGGGTGTGGTGACTAATGCTTGTAATCCCAGCACTTTGGGAGGCCAAGCCAGGTGGATCACCTGAGGTCAGGAGTTTAAGACCAGCCTGGCCAACATGGCGAAACCCTGTCTCTGCTAAACATACAAAAATTAGCCAGGTGTGGTGGCATGTACCTGTAATGTCACTCAGGAGGCTGAGGCAGGAGAATCACTTAAATCCAGGAGGCGAAGGTTGCAGTGAGCCAAGATCACACCACCACACTCCAGCCTGGGCAGCAGAGTAAGACTCAGTCTCAAAAAAAGAAGTAACATTCTGTTTGCTGACACAAGAAAAAAAAATTCCTCCCCAGCATAATAAGCAATGTGAAAGGAGCAAGGGCAGAGTAGTAAATAGTACTTTTTGTCTAAAGAGGTTGAGAGGGGAAATGTATATATGAATAAAGGAACTATAAACTATAAAAAGTGCGTAATAAATCAGTTACAGAGGTAGGTGGGATGCAAGGAAGACCATTTGCTTTTTGCTTTTTAATTTTGTAATTAACCACGTGAATATGTTCTCCATATAAAAGTTAATTTACAATATGATAAAAATAAAGGGGAGATTATTATAGCATTGCCAAGTTTATATTTTTTCCACATAGTGACATTTTAAAAACCCTACCATCTATTATAACTTTTAAATCACAAAAGAAAAGAAAGGGCATCTTGAAAGAAATAAGCAAAAGTAAGAAAGAATGACAATTTTTGAAGAATTTTCTCTTAAATTGATACAATACTGCCTTTTCCTCATTTCACTGTAGACTACACTTCATCACTACCTGGTCCTGGCCCAGAAAGGAGCACATTGAAACCATCAGGAGAGATAGAGGACATGAGGGAGCTTGTGATCCTGGAGTAGATACAAGACTTCCTCTGGAACCTAGTGGGAAGGACACTCTCATAATGAGATTCCATAATTCTTATGCCTTAATACTGATATATCAATATCTATGTAATTATGTACACCTTTACCAAATACTGAAATATTTAGAACAGTGAAAAAAGACTTAAAAATGTTAAAACAAAGGTTTTTAAAAATAATAGAATCAAGGTCCAAAAGCTAACCCCTCACATGGAGGCTGAGGTTCTCTGTGAGTAGGAAAGTGATGGATGCTACTGTCCAGGGTAAGCAATCTTGGCTGCTGTCAGCTGTAAGTTGCCCTGCTAGCCCTGGGCTGTGGAGCAGTGCATGGGGTCCATATGAGGGCCAGTGAAGAACATTTTCTTTCATCTGGTTGCTACCTCTGGACTCTCCTATTTTATTTCCCTGTCCCCACAGGTAGTTTTCCGATTGAGAGACCAAAAGGTAAGAATTCAGTTTCCCTATCCCCTGCAGTTAGATAGAAATGATTAGAGAAAATACATGTAATTAGAGCACAGAATATTTTTCTTAGTTTTTATAAGGCACACTTACACACACTACTGTGCAATACCAATGCCTAACATGCCATAATATAATAAGTAAACTGAGGCTGAAGAGCTGGATTGGTATTCAATGCCAACAATAATAACAACAGCTAACATCTGCAAAGCCCTGGCTATACCAGGTGTAGGTTAAGCTCTTCGTATGTGTAACATTACTGAATCTGTACATCTCTGTGAGATAGGTACTACTACTATACCATTTTCCTATGAGATCGGATCCCTGAAGCTTGAGGAAGTTGAAACCACTCCTTCTAGATTATGTGACTAGCAGAAAACACTTTCCCCTTGCCTCCTATGCACAGAGACACCATGAGAGCAGTGGAAATAGGCCTGAATTAAAAGTTAAGAGAACCAGCTGGGCACAGTGGCTCATGCCTGTAATCCCAGCACTTTGGGAGGCCAAAGCAGGCAGATCGCCTGAGGTCAGGAGTTCAAGTCCAGCCTGGCCAACATGGTGAAACATTGTCTATACTAAAAATACAAAAATTAGCCAGGCATGGTGGCAGGCACCTGCAATCCCAGCTACTCAGGAGGCTGATGCAGGAGAATTGCTTGAACCCAGGAGGTGGAGGTTGCAGTGAGCCAATATTGCACCACTGCTCTCCAGCCTCAGCGACAGAGCAAAATTTCATCTCAAAAAACAAAATAAACAAAAAAGTCAAGAGAACCAAATTTGGTTTATGGTTCTACCTCCTAGGTAAATCATTTCATTTTTCCAGGTCTGCTTATTCCCCTTTAAAAGAATAGAAATAGAATCTCTAACATGATCGCAGTGTCATAGACACTCACAGTCCCCAGCTGGTGCTTCCTGAGCTGTGCAACCCACAAGCCCACCCTGGTTCCTCCACCAGAGCACAGAGGGATGAGAGTGTTCTTGGGAATGCTCTAAGGATATATACTATGGGGTGTCAATCATCCTTCTCCAATAAGGAAGAAATGACAACGATGTAACTTAGCACATGTTCCCAGAGGTTAAGAATATACTTACACAAAAACTTGTGTGGTGCCTACTTCTGGTCCAAAGATTTTTATAGATAGTAGCTCACTGGAGTATGTCATGCCAGAAACACTGAGACAGTGATGTAGTGAACCCTGAAAGAAGATGAGCTCTGCTAGTCCTGTCATGTTCTCCATAGCCCTCAGGTGATGCAGAGGTTTCCAGTGGCTCCTAGGACTCAGCAGGAAGACGGACAGGGAGCTAGGCACTATGGGGCTGCAAAGTGGCTGCAGGGAAATAGAATGTGGTTGGCAGTATCCCACTGCTGGGGCCAAGAGGAAACATGACTGCCTCCCTGATGGGGGGTGCCAGTGATTGAAAAGTCAGGGTGAGGCCGGGCTCAGTGGCTCACGCCTGTAATCCCAGCACTTTGGGAGGCCGAGGTGGGTGGATCACGAGGTCAAGAGATCGAGACCATCAACATGGTGAAACCCCGTCTCTACTAAAAATACAAAAAATTAGCTGGGCATGGTGGCGCGTGCCTGTAATCCCAGCTACTCAGGAGGCTGAGGCAGGAGAATTGCCTGAACCCAGGAGGCGGAGGTTGAGGTGAGCCGAGATCACGCCATTGCACTACAGCCTGGAGCGAAACTCCGTCTCAAAAAAAAAAAAAAAAAAAAGAAAAAAAAAGAAAAGTCAGGGTGAGCGCAAACATCACACACACACACACACAACAGAAATCACTGCATCAGCATAGCCATCAGTATCAGTCTCCACCAGAGTGAGATTTGAGGCAGTGCCCCGTAACAACGAGAGGAGCTGTACAGGACAATGTCTAAGAAAACATCTATGTTGAGGTATGTTCTTTCCATTCCCAGTTTTTTTAGTTTTTTTTTTTTTTTTTAAATCATGAAGGAATGTTGAATTTCATCAAATGCTTTTTCAGCATCAATTGAAATGATTATGATTTTTGTTCTTCATTTTGTTGAAATGATGCATCACATTGATTGATTTCTGTTTGTTGAACCATTTTCGCATCCCAGAGATAAATCCTACTTGGTCATGATGAATGATCTTTCTAATGTATTGTTGAAAACAGATCCCCAGTATTTTGTTGAGGATTTTTGCATCAATATTCATCAGAGATATTGACCCGTAGTTTCCGTTTGTTGATATGTCTTTGTCCTGTTTGTATATCAGAGTAATATCGGCCTCATAGAATGAATTTTGAAGTATTCCCTCCTCCTCTATTTTTCAGAATAGTTTAAGTAGGATTGGTATTAATTCTTCTTAAAATTTTGTTCATTTTGGCCAGGTGCAGTGGCTCATGCCTGTAATCTCAGCATTTTGGGAGACCGACGTGAGTGGATCAACTGAGATCACGAGTTTGAGACCAGCCTGACCAATGTGGTGAAACTCTGCCTCTACTAAATAAAAAAAATTAGCCAGGGGTGGTGGTGCACACCTGTAATTCCAGCTACTCGGAAGCTGAGGCAGGAGAATAGCTTGAACCCAGGAGGCGGAGGTTTGTAATGAGCCAAGAATGCAGCCACTGCACTCCAGCCTTGGCAACAAGATCAAAATTCCGTCTTAAGAAAAAGAAAAAAAAAATGGTAGACTTCAGCAGTGAAGCCATCAGGTCCCAGGCTTTTCTTTAGTGGGGGACTTTTTATTATGGCTTTGTTCTCGATGCAATTGGTCTTTTCAGGTTTTGGATTTCTTTCTGGTTCAATGTCGGTAGGTTATATGTATTTAAGAATTTGTTCATTTCTTCCAGATTTTCCAATTTATTGGCATGTAGTTGACTATAGGAGCCACTAACAGTCCTTTGAATTTCTGCAGTATCACTTGTAACGTCTCCTTTTTCATTTCTGATTTTCTTTATTTGGATCTTCTCTCTTTTTTCTTAATTGGCTAAAGCTCTGTCAACCTTTTTTAACTTTTCAAAAAAGCAACTTTTGTTTTATTAATATTTTACAGTATTTTTTCATTTCAATTTCATTTATTTCTGCTCTGATCCTTATTTCTTTTCTTCTGTGAATTTCGGGTTTGGTGTGCCTCTTGCTCTTTGCATTCTTTAAGATGCATCATTAGATTGTTCATATAAAGTTTTTCCTCTTTTTTGATGTAGGTAGTTATAGCTATAAACTTCCCACTTACTACTGCTTTTGTGTTTTCATTACCATTTGTTTCAAGAAATTTTTCAATTTCCTTTTTACTTTCTTCTTTGACCCACTGGTCATTCAGGAGCATATTCATTAATTTTCATGTATTTGTATAGTTTCCTAAATTCCTTTTGTTATTACTTTGTAGCTTTATTCCATTGTGGTCAGAGAAGATGCTTGTGGGATTTTTCGTTGTTTTTTGTTTGTTTGTTTTCAGTTTTTTTGAATGTTTTAAGACCTGTCTTGTGACTTAACATATGGTCTATCCTTGAGAATGATCCATGTGCTAAGGAAACAAATGTGTATTTTGCAGTTCTTAGATGAAATGTTCTGTGAATGTCTATTAGGTTCATTGAGTCTGTAGTGCAGATAAAGTCTGATGTTTAATGGTTGATTTTCTGTCTGGAAGGTTTGTCCAATGCTGAAAGTGGGGTGTTGGTCTCCAGCTATTATTGTATTGGAGCCTATCTCTCTCTTTGGCTCTAATAATATTCCTTTTTATATCTAGATACTCAGGTATTGGGTCTGTAGATATTTAAAATTGTTATAACCTCTTGCTGAATTGGCCCGTTTATTATTATATAGCAACCTTCTATGTCTCTTCTTATAGTTTCTGTCTTGGAATATTTCGTCCAAAATAAGTATAGAAACTCCTGCTCTTTTTTGGTTTCCACTGGCAAGAAATATCTTATCTTTTTTTTTTTTTTTTTTTTTTGCATTGCTTTATTTTCAGTCTGTGTGTCTTTACAGGTAAAGTGTGTTTCTTGTAGGCAACAGGTCAATGGGTCTTTTTTTCCATCCATTCAGCCAGTTTATGTCTTTAGATTGGACAGTTTAGTCCATTTAAATTCAATGTTATAATTGATAAAGTAAGGGCTCACTCCTGCCATTGTTATTTTTTTTCCCCAGTTGTTTTATGGTCTTCTCTCCCGTCTTGCTTTCCTCCCTGTCTTCCTCTGGGGAAGGTAATTTTCTCTGGTGACATGATTTACTTTCTTGATTTTTATTTTTTGTGTATCCATTATATGTTTTTTTGGTTTGAGGTTACCAAGAGGCCTGTAAATACTCTCTTAAAACACATTTTGTAACCTGAAAACAACTCACCACTGTTTGCATAAACAAACAGGCAAAAGGAAAATTTATAAAAACTCTCCACCTTAATTTCATCCTCCTGATTTTTAATTTTTTGCCGTTTCTATTTTTATTTTATTCTACTGGCTATGTCTAGAAAAGTTGTAGTTTTTATTTTTGATTGGTTCATCATTGAGTCTTTCTACTTAGGATAAGAGCGGTTACATACCAGTTACAGTGTTATCATATCCTGTGTATTTCTGTGTACTTATCAGTGAGTTTTGTACCTTCAGGTGATTGTTTATTGCTGATTAATGTCCTTTTCTTTCTTATTGAAATATTCCCATTAACATTTCTTGTGGGACAGCCCTGGCATTAATAAAATCCCTCAGCCTTTGTTTTTCTGGGAAAGTCTTTATTTCTCCTTCAGGTTTGAAGGATATTTTCACCAGATATACTATTCTAGGGCAAAATTTAATTTCCTTCAGCACTTTACATGTATCATGCCACTCTCTCCTGGCCTGTAAGGTTTCCACTGAAAAGTCAGCAGCCAGATGTGTTGGAGCTCTATTGCATGTTATTTGTTTCTTTTCTCTTGCTGCTTTTCTTTCAATCAAACTCCCAAAGGTCAAGGATAAAGAAATCCTTAGTATTAAATGCCTTAAGGTGGTTTTCTTTGGGTTAAACATGCTTGATGTTCTTTTACTTGGATATTGATACTGTTCTCTAGATTTGGGAAGTTGGATAAATTTGTTACCCCTACCTTTTTCTCTACCTCTTCTTTAAGGCCAATAACTCTTAGAGTTTTCCTTTCGAGGTGGTTTTCTAGATCCTGTAGACATGCTTCTTTGTTCTTTTATTCTTTTTTCTTTTGTCTCCTCTGACTGTGTATTTTCAAACAGCTTGTCTTCAAGCTCACTACTTCTTTCTTTTGCTTGATCAATTATTCTATTAAATGACTCTGGTGCATTCTTCAGTATGCATTTTTCAGTTCTAGAATTTCTGTTTGATTCTTCTGATTTCAATCTTTTTGTTAAATGTATCTCATAGTTATTTGTTTCTCTGTGTTTCTCTGAATTATTTCTCTGTGTTATCTCGAATTTCTTTGAGCTTCCTTAACACTGCTATTTAAAAACCTCTGTGTGAAAGGTAACATATCTCTGTTTCTCCAGGATTGGTCCCTGGTGCCTTATTTAGTTCATTTTGTGAGGTCATGTTTTCCTGGATGGTGCTGACGTTAGTAGATTTCTTCAGTGTCTGGGATTTGAAGAGTTAGATATTTAACACAATCTGAATTGCTGGGCTTATTCGTAGCCATCCTTCCTGGCAAGGCTTTTCAGTTATTTGAAGAAACTTGGGTGTTGTGATGTAAGCTAGTCCTGCTTTAGGGGGCACTCCAGTAACACTGTGGTTTTTGCAGACTTGCGAAGGTACTGACTTGATGGTTTTAGACCAGATCTGGGAGAGTTCTCTGGATTGCTAGGCACAGACATTTGTTCTTTTTCCCTACTTTCTAAACATACAGTCTTTTTCTTTGTACAGAGCCACCGAAAGCTTGGGGTGGAGTGACACAAGCACTCCTGTGGCCCCCACTACTATGAATACACTGAGTTGGACCTGAAGCCAGCACAGCACTGGATCTCACCTAAGGGCTGCTGTAAACCCTCTCTGGATAGTGCCTATCTTCACTTAAGGCCCTGGGTCTCTACAGTCGGCAGGTAGCAAAGCCTGCCAGGCCTGTTTCCTTTCCTCTCAAGCCCTGGGTGGGTCCAGAAATGCCACCTGGGGGTCCGAGACTAGAGTCAAAAAACTTAGAAGGCCACCTGATATTCTATCATGTTACAGCTGAGCTGGCACACAAACCACAGGATGCAGTCCTTCCCACTCTTCCCTCCTCTTTCCAAAAGCAGAGGAGTCTCACCCTGCAGCCACTGCCATCCCAGGCCATGAGGGGTACTCCCAGACTACTACCAATGTTCCCTTGAGGCCCAACCTCTCTTAAGTCAGCTTGTTATGAATGCTGTCTGGCCTGTGACTCAACCTTCAGGGCAGTGGATTCCCCTCTGGCACAGGGCATGTCCAGAAATGCTGTTCAAGAGTCAAGTCCCGGAATCAGGGACCCCAAAGTACCCCACTGTGGCTGTGCTGGTACCTATGATATAAGACAAAGTCTCCTTTACTTTTCCCTCTGCTTTTCTCAAGCAGGAGTTTTGCACCATAAACACCACAGCTGGTAATGTTCTGAGTCTCACCTGAAAGCAGCAAGTCTCAGAGGCTCACCAAGGCCCATGATGTAGTACCTGGGCTGTGGATTCCCTTCTGGCCCAGAGAGTACCTATGGAGCTTCCTATTCCACCATCTTGTTCCACCTCCTCAATTTATAGAAAAGTTTTAAAATTATGTTTTTAAGTGCTCTAGGACAGTGATTTTCAAAATTACTTTAGCTTTAAATGATTTTTACAAGAAAAGTTTTATGTGGAAGCTACATAATAAAATAGATTATGGAGATACCTGTGGAAACTAGGTATTTTCCCTCTGGAAACCAAGGGACAGGTATCTTCAAGATTCTAATTAGAGTTTGAGGTGAATGTGCCTGCTCTCAGGTATGCAGGTAGAGTAGAAGATGGGATCAGAGAAGAATGGGAGGAGTTTGGAACAGGAAAGTGAGTCTACTAGAGATAGTCAAAGAATTGTCTAGCAAAATTCCCACTTTGTCTTCATTTTTCTGACATTTTGTGTCTTTTTGATGGTAACCTGAATAACTCAAATGTATGCATTATTTCAAATATACATTTTCAAAGTTTAAAAATTTTAGCTGGGCACAGTGGCTTACACCTATAATCCCAGCACTTTGGGAGGCTAAGGTGAGCAGGTCACTGGAGACCAGAAGTCTGAGACCAGCCTAGCCAACATGGCAAAACCCCGTCTCTACTAAAAATACAAAAATTAACTGGGCATGGTGGTGGTGCCTGTAATCCCAGCTACTCAGGAGGCTGA